ATCCTCCTCCTATTTTTCAATATAATATTTCATTAGTCAATAAACTACATGCATTTGATTGTAAGGATGGATAGTGGCTAGCAGTGGGATCCAGGACGCGCGTTTCATCCTATTTGGGACTCACCAACTGGATGTACCTGATGTTCACTCTGGGGCTCGAACCCAGTACCGTTCGCTTCAAACGCCATCGCATTATCCACTTAGCTACTGAGTCAAGATTGAAGCGATACACACAGTATGCACATATGTCAATAATAGACTGATCAATTGCAGTCCTAAACATCAATGGGAATATTCAAGTAAAACAATACCAAGTGAATTATGATTGTAAAGTATGAGTAAATGATATCGCTGAAAAAAGGTTTTCTTCGCTAAATTGTCCTCAATTCTTTTTTCAATGATACTATGGGTTTATTTCATAAAATACATTATAACTGAATTGAACAAATTTCCATAGAATTCTCATCTTAAACAAATATTGTAAGAATACAACTTGCATATTACAAATTCTTATCTGAATATACCAATATCATAGTGATTTTGTAGTGAACGTGGACACAAGTGGAGTGAACCAAATGCACCTGAATACAAAATCACAAAATTACGTTTAATACTTCATTTGCAAAATGTTTATCAATTGTCTCAGACTTTGTTGTTCTTTCATTTATATACCAATCAATCTCTCTTCCCATTCACTTCTATTCGATCTTCCCATCTTTCTGCTGTTACTTTCGATTGGTGTTACATACTACTTATATTTGTCGAGATGAGTAGCATACATCACAATTTGACTGAAATTCATTCATTGAGTAAACTACCATTTAAAACCATAGAAGAAGAAGAAGGTAGAAACTCCATTTCATTATAATATAACTCCAACAAATGCATTACCATTTGAATCACTTAATGAGTTGCAATTTATTCGTTCCTACTTAAATCAAGTCGTTATTAAATGAGGCGAAAGTTTGATTACATTGACATTTAATTGCTTTATTTCTGATATCATTCGATCCTTGTGTACGAGTGAGTGAACTACTTCCAATGAGTCTCATACTAGGATGAAATAGCTGTTTAATATCCTTTCATTTTCTATACCTTCAAATTGGTATCTATTTGTGAAGTGAAAAAAAAAGACGAAAACGAAACTAATATCCACTATTTGGATAACCGGATATGAAATTCATTAACTGTTTGTGTTCAACTTATCAGTACGTGTTGTTGCTGCTGTGACAAACGATATTCACTTGACATTCTAACAGTATTCTATTTTGTAATTTATATTCTATGGCAAACAATATGTTCTTCTCTGTTGACTCATCAATTCGTTTTCTAGGTAGATGTCACAACATGTCTTTAGGATTCGATTCACTTTATATATTTGTCTGTTCATGCACTAATATATCACGAACAAATTAACACTATGTTGACATGTTGAAGAGAGGGATTTAGTGTTTGTTTTTAACACTCTCAGCCCCTTATATGGCTTATCATGTAGAATAAACCATAGGTAAAACATACATAGATACATACATACAATGAGATTGATTGAAAAACATGTATACATCATTTGAATGACATGTTGTCATATTGTTTTCTATCTCAATTAGTCAGTCTTATTATCATTATCACAGTTAATTATGATGTGAATCATTCATGTCAGCAATTTCCAAATAAAAAAAACACTAACACGCCTATATTGATTGAAATCAAGATCCAATCAATATTAAACTACCATTGGAAATCTAGAAGCACTGGATGGCCGTCTTGTCTTAGTGTGGGACCCCTCGATAGTGGCCATCCACGATCCCGCACTCTAGACTCGAACACAGTACCTTCGATCTTTCGGGTGAACGCTTAACCTCTAGACCACTGAGTTGGAACCCAACGGTGTTAATGTCTAACTTTAACCAATCCACGAAATTGCGCGACCGTCCACCATTGTCTTTAGTGAGTAACTGCTTCTACGACAGACCTGGTCGAACTCCACTGTCCACGGCTTCTCACTAAGACAAAACGGTCATCCAGTGCTTCCAGGTTTTCAGTGATGGTCTAACATTCATCCATTCATGATATCAATTGAAATTAATTTTATTCTTTAGAAGATTCGAAGAAGATAAGTATGCCTTATTATCGATGCATGTTAATTTCAGTCAGTTTGACAAGACGGAAAGGAACGGATGAAACTAAAAAGGACTGACGCAACTATGTCCCTCCTGGTATCAGATACATTAACAATGTACACCATTATCCACAATAATTGAAACTGACCTCCAAACATTGAAGTTTTAACTCTTCTGAATTCCTTTCCCATTTGCAGCTTTCATAAAAACCTCATTAGAAAAAATATATCATATGACGTTGTTGTCCGTTTGATTCCAGCTCAGTGATCTATAGGTTAAACGTCAGCTCATGAGACTGATGGCTATAGGTTCGAGTCCCATATGCGGAGTCATGGTTGTTCAGTTCTGAGTCCCGTGAGAAAGAAAAACAATTGTCCAGTGCTTTCAGTTTTTCAATAGTAATCTGACTTAGATCTGTTTGTGATTACAATGTGATGTATATGTATTTAATACGCATTATACAGAAGTGTTGTTCTTAATCAAATCCTCAATGAATCTAAGTGTTTTGATGTTTAGGTAAAAGGTGAAGTATTTCGAAACTCAGATGAAGATATATTGAGAATGTTTTACCTAATGTTTCTGAGAGCATTCAGATTATGAAAATTAAGCAAGGAACTCTTGTTTCATATATTAAACGGATATGATAGAGCGAGTTCAATAGTTAAACATAAAAAATGATGTAAGGTCTTTTCAACGGACTCACTTATCTCTAACATCTTATCGTAGGTAAGAAACGAATCTACTGTTAGCTTACTATATCCTGTAAACATTAATTTCATTATTGATAAATCATATCTCATGTTCATAGTGAGAATATGATCTTGATGGAGTTTTGTTCTCTGAGCTGGATGATTTGGTCATGGAGTTTTCATCGTTCTTCTAAATGACTGAATCAGCACAAATTTAAGGTAGAAGTTTGTGCTGATGATGTCCACCTGAGCTACAAATCTTGTACACCATCTCAAGAATATGATCTGAATAGTAATACTTGTAAATTTCTATTTATTAAGGCGAACATGTATTCATATGAACTTAATCTCTAGCCTACTAAAGAGAGCTCATGCAATTTAATATTTTGTTATTACTCGTTAGTTCTGATAAGATAACCTCGATAACATTTCCTATTTCCATAGTTTCGCAATGATCGTTGCTATTATCTGATTGGTTGTTATCATTATCAATTTTCTGATATTGTAGACTCTAATGTCATTGTTATATGAACAGAGTTACTGGATTTGAATTTTCGACTTCTGTTGGAAATACAGTGCCATCATGAAAGTCTTAGCTTATATCAGCGTATCGATTATTAACGTTGAAGTACTGTTATGTGCCAATCATTATTCTATCAGATACACCCTGGAACACATTCGTATTAGAATAAGCTCAATTACTTGTGTAATTAGCAATTACCTTAGCCCTGTATTGAACCTCAAAGTACAAGGAGACACCAAATAGATGAGCGCCACATAAAAACATTCGATTTATGTGAGGGCTAGGATAATGCTCGAGTGTCTAAATCGAAACTGATTGTTTAATTAGAGGGACAACATCCGAGCCTTTGACCTAAAGGTCTAATCCACAAGGCAGTGGTGCATCGTAAGGAGATGCAGTCCCATAGTAGCCGGTAACAAACGATTGGTTCATAAGCCATTTGTCACTTCAGGATACTGGAGCCTATGTGCACCATTGGTTTGAAATCAGGGTTTTCCCAGTCCGCTAAGTGAACTCTCCGTAACCACTAACCCGGTTCACGCGTCGGACATTCACTTTTCGTCTTCTCAATATCGTAAACAACAGTAATGCCGCGAGAAGTCAGTGAGTAGGACATCCCTGACAATGGTTGTATACACGTGGTCATGTGAGAACATTTCGAGAGAGAGAGAGAGAGAGATAGCTAACTCTACCCAACCTCGACCGTACCAGGGTATTGTCACAGATGAAAAAAACCATAACCTACCATACAGTTACAAAATTAATCCCAACAAATTCACCCTAATTTATCAATATCCATATAGTTGTTGTTGTTTTTTTTCATTCTTTATCCATCATCTAACTGAACATCTATTTTATATTTTGCATACACTCAAATTATCGTTACTTTTAATCTTATACAAAACAAATTCTTTCGTTTCATTATTTCTTTTTTTACCTCAATTTTTGTTTCTGAAAGATGCAAATTAGCAAAAATGATTGACAAGTACTGTTGAATGAACTAACCAACATTGTTGTTGTTGTTGTGTGAATATGTGTGTATTTGTATTTTGAGTTTCTTACAGAAAATGTAAACACACACACACACTCACGCACATACGCACCCGTGCACTAAAATATAGGGAACAGACAACAGAGGAATAAACGAAGAGTCATATATCTATCTGAATAACTGAATATAAATTCCCATTGTACACTATTAATACATTTTTTTAAAGTATTAATAATGAGTACATGTGTACAGTGTGAATAGATGAATACAATGTGGATATCAGAGAAAAAACAAAAACAAAACACGCAATCTGTTCACACAATGGCACATGGCACAAGTCTATGAAGTCACTAACAAGTGGACTGAATCATGTTGGTAGGTGTAGACTACCTGTTTGGGATCCGCGAGACGACAGCAACCGATTGTTGGAGATCTTGAATGACATGGCTCAAAATCGTTTGCAATGGCACACGTGGATACACTTTTTGTGTTCTCCCAAATTTTAATCTCTTGATTCCTCCTTTTCTCTTTTCTTTCTATTCGCAAACTTATCTCACTGGATTATACTCTTTAAATAACATCTCCAAACCCTAATCTTTCCGATTACTGCTTATACTCTTACTACCTCTACCACTAGGGGATTTGAATCGACCACTGCATCACTGTGCTAATGTGGTATGGCAACTCGAACTGGTGTACGTACGTACGTACGAAGTTCTACATTGTTACTGACTGATAATGAATATCAGTCCATTACATTAAATGAATATGACAAGAAAATTAATTACTTTTTTCCTCCTCCTCCTGCTACTACTACTACTACTACTACTACTACTACTACTACTACTACTACTACTACTACTACTACTACTACTACTACTACTACTACTACTACTACTACTACCATTTAATAATCTCAATGAATAGAACTACTTTATATTCAGATTAGATTGTTAAAACCACTAATTACAAAAAAATGTTCTCATTATTTGTTTTCTCACACCACCATTAAATTTTGCCAACGATACCCTATATTACTACTATCCTATACTACTCCTATGTGAATGAGTCAGCCAACTGTGAGAAAATTAACAAGAGTGTGAGCACGCATGATAGAGAGACAGAAAGAGAGAAATAATAGTATACAATATCAACTTTAAATTATCCAGGAAAAAAATGAGTTAGTAATGCTGTGGTAGATACTACTTATGTCGACAGATATAATATGGGGAATAAAAAACTGCAACGACTAAATTGTCTAATAATGTTTATAATAATATTTTCAAATGTTACAAACTTCTCCATATACTCTCTCTTATAATACCATCTTAAAGATATCCCAATACATGTACGGCTAACTAGTGCTGGGGATGATTGGAAGAAAGTTAGGGATGGTCAAACCAAAACGTGGCATCACTGCTTCATCTCACTAACTTCTAGTCTCAGCCATTTTGGTAGATGCAGACTACTTGGTTGGAGGACGTGTGACCATCATAATCAGTAGTGGTTGGAGACTGTGGGTGACATGGTTCATAATTGATTACAATGGTGTCGGTGTATGCACTCTTTGTCATCCCTTAAACTGTGAGATTGAAATTGCTTCATATATTTATTTCTACGAACTAATTCTTTCTTCCTTTACTAGATCCTTATACACAATCTTTCTTTTACACATTACGACCACTGAATCAACTGCATCTATGAAGTTGGTGTTCATCTTGTTATGCCAATGAGGTGTGGTAACTTGGACTGATGCATATATGTGCCTGTTCCTATGTTGTAGCTGACTGACTGACTGACTATACAACTGAGAAAAAAGTATTTTATGGTAACCTATTCGCATGCATTCAGGATACTTAGTACAATTTATTTTGTTTTCTAATAAATCCTGTCACATTTTTACTGAAGTTCTAAACAAAATGAAAGGTATTACCAGTGTTTGTAACTGAAACATTCGATTTTAGCTATTGTACGTTTGTGTATTTGTTCTAGTATCTCGGTTTCTATTAGCTCACAGCAGAAAATTATAATTTATAAATGTGGATGTGAGTGTATGTTGTTAGTGCTTGGCCATAGTGACTGTTACAAACTGATCGCATTTGGGGTGTGATTGAAAGCTAGGGAGTAATGTGTAACCGTTTCGTCCCAGTGCAGGACTCCTCAACAGTGCACACACATGACCCTACCATAGATTGAATCTAGAACTTAACCACTCGATAAACTTGTTAGTGGGCCAATGGACAGGACACATATTGAGGAAAGCACCAAATGGTGTCACAAGGCAAGCCCTCATATGAAGTCCTCAAGGTCAAAGGAGGAGAGGAACACCAAAGAATACATTACGCCGAGAAATGGAGACAGATAGACATGAGAAGAATGAAAAAAAAATTGGATCGAACTAGAAACGAAGGCCCAGGACAGAGTGGGATGGAGAATGCTGGTTGGTGGCCTATGCTCCATTGGGAGCAACAGGCGTAAGTAATTAAGGTTCAAAGAGAATTATATGCTATATACATTCAAATCCGCCCCGTTATTGTTCTTATTATTCTTAAATTAAGTTCAACAGTTTTGAATAGTTCTACAATTGTTTTTGTTGTTGTGATGGTTGTTTATTTTGTTCTATCACCGTCTGTCAATTTCTAATCACAGGTGATTTGTTTATTTTCCATGCTAAAGGAAACATATGACGACGCCTATATATATATATATATATAACAATATTGAAGATTGGTCATTGCTTAACTTATAGTTATTTGTTTGTTTGTTTTTTTAAGAAGAAGGAATACCCATAAATATGATAATAGGCGTTAAAGAAAATCAATATTTGTGGAATATTGACGTCTGTGTGTATGTATGTGTGTGTGTTACTGACTTTCAAATATTTCACCACTTCTATGGATGATAAGCTTAGATAATTTAAATTACGAATTATTCACTATGTACATACGTAATGTCAACATGCGTACAAATGTATGATATATAAAAATCCACATGTAGCTCTTCTAAGGTGACTGTCGATCCTAGGCCTAGGTAAAGGAGGTCATGGTCAGCAACCACAACCCGTAGAAAACAACTTCGCTAAAAAAACGCTAACCAGAATAAACATGAATATGTATATAATGTCCTTTTCGTGGTTATAAATTTCTATCATATAGCTTTGAATGAAATATATAATATTTGCTCAGACGAAGACTAGGATAAGAGATTAGACTCACCAAGCAGGTTGAATTTCTCAGTGAATCAACGTAAAACAAGTCTTACTTACTTACTTACTTACGTACTTACTTGCTTACCTACTTACTTACGCCCGGTACTCCCAATGGAGCATAAGCCGCCGAACAGCATTCTGCAACCCACTCTGTCTTGGGCATTCCTTTTTAGTTATATCCAATTATTGTTTAGTTGTTTTTATTTAGTTTTTGTTTAGTTCTATATATTCAATTGTTTATTTATGTGTATGATTATTGTATAACGTAGCCAACTTATGAAACATTTATGTTGTTATGATTGAAATGTCTGTGTTTGAGTAGTTGACTTGTATTTGTATAACTTTTTCAAATTCAGTGACCAAAATCGTTTTGTTTTTTCTGTAATTTTGTCAGAAAATCAATGGATATATACATAATTCAATGCATAATAATGAGCCAATGCCACTAAAGCACAAACCGATCTAGTTTAGACAACCATTAAAAACGTGCATAGCTGTTTTATCCTGGTATGGAACTCCTAAGAAGTGACCACCTACGACTTCCCATCCAGAAATCAAATTCAGAATTCTTGTTCTCACTCCTAGACTTTTATCCTCTAAACTACTCCTCCGATATCTAGTGAGGTACAAGTCTAACTTCAATGAATCCATGATATTAGCGAGTAACTCTGAGACAGTCGAAACGGTTGAATGTCACCGGGACTCTTGAAACTCCCTCTCGAAGTATAAGAAACAGTTGTATACATAATAATCTTGTCTATTTGTCAGTTATTTGAGATAACCCTAAACATTTCAAGATGACAGTTACACCTTGATAAGTGTTCTCTTAACTACCTCAATTCATTTAAAATCTTGTGTATATTAATTCATAAACAAATCACAACACAGCTCATATTAATGAATTCAAAGTGTACTTTTTACCAAATACATGAATATACTACTGATTTCTTCAAAACAAAATGTAACAAATAAATGAGTTATGAATATTCATTCTATAATTCGTACATGTGTATGTATGTATGTGTGTGTGAACGTATATAAATGTATGCAAATAAAACGGTGATTTCACTACAATGGTGTTCAAAAATATTATTGTAACTAATTTACATATTGATAAAAAGAAACCTCATTAACAAATGAAATTTTAATGACTAACTGATTACAAAACAATCATTAGTTATTTAATTAGTAATAGATTTCATTGTTATCACTTGTGGCTTTGTGTCCCCCCCTACCAATATATATATGACGTAATCATACCGCCAATTATTGACTGAACCAATGATGCATAAACCCCATACGAGCAGCCTAGCATTCTTTAATGGTCCTTTGTACTCCTAGCCCTGACAGTTGAGTTCAGAACACCCATCTCAGCCTCTAAGATATGAATCATGTACACGGTTTATATATAAGTAAAACAGACCACATCGTACCATAAAATACGAAACAACGTTTGATCAAGGTCAAGCCAAATGTGGCTGTGAATGTGGGAGACGGTAATTAATAGACTGGGCATAACTCAAGAATGGTAAATCGTATAATAATAGTTCATAGGTCAAAATAAAGCTTATAATAAGAGGAATATGAATATGCATAGTTTAGTTACTTAACAATGATACAATCAGTCAGTCAGTCAGTAACAACTTAGAACTTCGTACGTACGTACATCAGTTCGAGTTGCCACACCACATTAGCACAGAGATGCACTTGTCGATTCAAATCCCGTCGTGGTAGAGGTAGCAAGAGTATAAGCAGTAATCGGGAAGATTAGGGTTTGGAGATATTATTTAAAGAGTATAATCCAGTGAAAGAAATTTGGAAAGAGGAAAAAAAAGGGACATGAAGAATTCAGAAGATTAGAATTTGGGAGAACACAGAGAGTGGATGCACCTGCGCCATTGCAAACGATTTTGAGCCATGTCATTCAGGGTCTCTAACCATCGGTTGCTATCATCTCGCGGTCCCCAACCAGCTAGTCTACACCTACCAACATGACTCAGTTCACTTGTCAGTGACTTCATGGACTTGTGCCATGTTTTGGTTTGGCCGCCCCTAGCTTTCTTCCAACCTACTCCTATACCACTGAACATAGCACGTCGAGGCAGTCGGTCGTTGGGCATACGTAACACGTGTCCCAGCCATCTCAACTGATGAAGTTTCACTACTTCATCAATTGATTTGCCATCCTTACCTAGTACCCGTTTCCTAACAACTGTGTTACTTACTCGATGGTCCCATGATATATGAGCAATGTTTCGAAGACACCTATGATCAAATACTAGTAACCTACGGACATCCTCTACTCTTACCGGCCATGTTTCACTCCCATAAAGTAGGACGGAACGAACTGCTGCGCAGTAAACACGTCCTTTGGTTGATAGACGGATATCTCGCCTACGCCATAAATGACGCAAGTTGGCAAAAGCTAGTCGAGCCTTCTGTATCCGTGCTGAGATTTCGTCACACACTAAACCACAAGGGCTGATGAGACTTCCAAGATAAGTGAAGCGGTCGACACACTCAACTACTTCACTCCCTATCACTAGTTCGGGTGTCGATGTAACCCAATCCTGAAGCAACATTTTGCATTTCGAGGGAGCGAATCGCATCCCGAACATGCTTGCATTGTTGCTTAGAGTGGCCAGAAGACTCTGCATTTTGTCAGTGTCTTCACCAAATAAAACGATGTCATCAGCATATTCT